AACATTAATGCTTGATGCAATGTGCTGCATGTTGTCCATGGAACTACCCAACCAGTGGAAAAATAGGACCAGTGCCAGCACCCCCGCAAGCCCTCCAGGTCCTTTCTCTTCCCTAGCACACCCTCCCCTAAGAGGTAACTGCTATCCTAATTCTTTCAGTAATAAATTCTTTCTTTTTATAGTTGGAGACACTTATGGACGGCCCCCTTAGCAGCAAAATGTGGTTTTGTCTGTTTTCACACTTCATATAAATAAGTAAAAGGATGAGCCAGAGCTACACACAATAACACAGATGTATCTTACAGACAGGATGTTCAAAGGAAGATACAAAAGAATATATAGCAGTCTTATTCTATTTATATGAATATTTATATGGTATTTATATGGTATTTATATTTATATGGTATTGGCAGAAAAACGGGCAGACAGATCAATGGAACAGAACTGAGAGACCAGAAATAAACCTATACATATATGGACAATTCATTTATGACAAAAGAGTCCAGAACGTACAATGGAGAGAAGACGGTCTCTTCAAGAAATGGTTTTGGGAAAACTGGACAACCACATTCAAAAGAGTGAAACTAGACAACTATCTTAAACCATACACAAAAATTAACTCAAAATGGATGAAAGACTTGAATGTAACACCTGAATCCATAAAATTCCTAGAAGAAAACATCGGTGGTGAGCTCCTTGACATTGGTTATTAATGACATCTTTGCGGACCTGACTCCAAAGGCAATGGAAACAAAAGCAAAAATAAATGGGACTACATCAAAGTAAAAAACTTCTACACAGCAAAAGAAACACTGTCCAAATGAAAAGGCAACATATTAAATGGGAGAAGATATTTGCAAACCATATATCCAACCCAGTTTTGGGTTAATATCCAAAATACATAAAGAATTCCTAGAACTTAACAACAAAAAAACCAAACAACTCAATTAAAAAATGGGCATAGGATCTGAATAGGGATTTCTCCAAAAAAGACATACACATAGCCAACAGATGCATGAAAAGATGCTTGATTTCACTAATTATCAGGGAAATGCTTTCAAAACCACAATGAGATATCACCTAACACCTGTTAGAATGTTGATTATCAAAAAGGCAAAAAAATAACAAGTGTTGGAGAGGACGTAGAGAAAAGGAAACCTTTGTGCACTGCTGGTGGGAATGTAAACTGATGCGGCCACTATGGAAAGCAATATGGAGGTTCCTCAAAAAACACTGCAGTAAACTTAAGGGTGCACATTAACTTTTCAAATTAGTATTTTTATGTTCTTTGTATAAGTACCCAGAAATGGAGTAGCTAGTCATATAGTAGTTCTATTTAATTTTTTTCTGCAAAAAAAGTCTTTCCTGTGTTCACTGCAGCATTATTTACAATAGCCAAGATACATAAACAACTTACGTGTCTGTGAATAGATGAATGGATAAAAAAGATGTGGTCTATTTACATAATGGAATGCTACGCAGCTGTAAAAAAGAATGAAATCTTGCCATCTGCAACATCATGGAGGGACCTGGAGGGTGCTGTGCTAAGCAAAATGAGTGAGATGGAAAAAAAAAAAAGAGTCAGATGGAGAAGGATAAATATCATACGACTTCACTCATATGTGGAATCTAAAACAAAACAAAACAAAACAGAAGAATAAACAAAACAAACAAAAACAAGCTCACAGATACAGAGAATAGACAAGTGGTTACCACAGGGGAAGGGGGTAGGGAATGGGTAAAACGGATGACGGGGGTCAACTGTATCATCATGGATGGTAACTAGGCTTGTGTTGGTCACTCTGTAGTGTATACAGATGTCCAATTATAAAACCATACACCTGAAACTTACATATTTTTTGAAACTTCTCTTTTTTTAAAAAAGAAAAGAAAATAGAGATGACTACAGATTACAAAAACCAAAAAACAAAATTCACCTAAGGGAAGGTAATTTTAGTGCATCTCTTGGCAATCAATTTTAATATGAACTAACTCTTCTGGAGCCATGATGAAAGCTCATTAAATTACTAGATTTATCTTTCCCTAGATTTTCACTCCTGAACATTCATTAAATTTGAACTACAATATTAAATACATTTAACTCTGTTAAAAATAGTCTGAAATTTTCCAGTGAATTTATTGAAGTCAATTCTCTCAATCCCCCTCCCCATATATATATATATATATTTTACCTATTGTAACCACAATTTTCCTTTTAATGAGGGCCAACACTGTATCTACAAAATGCTCAAATTTTAAAGAAATTTTGCACCAAAGGGTTTCAAGTTAACACTCATATTGATCAAGCATGAAAAGCCAAAAATGTTAACTCTGTAGCCAGTCTGAGGAATACAAATACGAAAAAGAAATTAATTCCAACTTTACTGTCTCCAGTGTTTCATAACCATCACAAATGATCTCCAAATGGCGTGAATAAATGGGACATACTTAGATGATGGTATTGTGGCACCAGCAAAACTGGCCTGCTCATCAGTCTCGCATTGTTTTACTGATAACAAACATGGTAACGAACATTTATTATAGTGTCAGGTACTTTCTGCATATTAGTTCACATATGCAATGCTATTTTCATCCTCAAAACAATCGTTAAAGTAGGTACTATTATTCTTCCCAACTAAAAAGGAAACTGGGTACAGAGAGGAAAGTAATTTGACCAAGGTCCATGGCAGTAAGTAGTCGAGTTAGATATCAAAACTCAGCTTCCTGGTGTCTCAGTCCGTACTCTACCACACTGTCTGGGAACATACTGGTTTCGTTGTTATCACCGTTGGCATCGTTATTATTCTGATAACGACAAGAACAGTTCTTTAAAACCAGAGCAAGCATGTGAACCAAGAGGAGGGAGAAAAATCTATGTACGTTTGTTTTGATCTATGAAAATTTTGTGAAAATGACTGTAACCAAGCAACTCTAACTCTGGGAGAACTAATTAAGAAATGAATTAAGGGATTCAATGCATACCCAGATTAGTCATCAGAGCTCAAAGATCTGGCGTTCTGGTCTGTATCCAGCTTTGGCACTTGCATCCAAAATAAACATGACCAGATAAGAACCACAAGCTCACAATTAAAATGGATTTATATGGCTTATGCGTCCACATGGGAGAGGCCTCTTCCTAATTGAATTCGGACACCTCTTCAGTTATTGTGGGTTTCATCTGCCGTCTCCCTACTCTTTTGTAACTGCCGGCAATAGGATTATGCTGAGGGAGAAATCATTTCAATCAGTGATGTGTGCAGAGCGAGCATAAAAAGAGAAAAGAAAAGCCTTTGAACTGTAATTAGAAAATTCCTTCAGTGTGCTCATGGGACATATGTTTGAGACGACGACTAACTGGCAAGACGAGTTACAGAATGAATGTCCGATGTCACCGTCCTGGGATAAGCGGCCAGTAAAAGTAGTGTTCTGACATGCGATTAGAGTCATCTTTCGCAGGCCAAAACATTCCTGCTTTCCACCTCTAATATGATTAGTGACGGACAGCTGGAGGCATCTCATTCTCCTGACAAAAATATGATCAGAATTGTTTTCAGTTAGTATATCTTCCCATCAAGCTGTTTGTTGCCTCCTAGCAGAATAATCAGAGTTTCTGATTATTTGGTACGTTCCAAGAAAACAGTAATTGATTGTGCCCTTGCTTGTCTGATGGAGAGAGGGCTGCCAGAATTTACATAGTAACTCTTCAGTCACCTAACCCAAGAAAAACTAAGCAGTGGGCATGTGTGTGTGTGTGTGTGTGTGTGTGAGAGAGAGAGAGAGAGAGAGACAGAGACAGAGGAAATCCAGCCAGTAGTTTCCATAATAATTCTCTTTGGACAACTATAAAGTGTTTTCAATGGTGATTCAGAATTCAGATTTGAGGAAGTACAATTATTCTTTTCCACTCATGGAAAACTACCAACTCCCACCAATGTTAATGGGTCTTTTCAAAAAATTAGTCATCATACTACTAAAGTTTCAGGGTTATTGAAAAAAAAATCAAGTTCAGATTCAACATTCATGGAAATATTCAGGTGCAGTGAGACCTCATTCATTTGGTCTACCTCAGTTCAGAATTTAATCATTTAACAGTGTCCAGATCAGGGGTGATCTTTTCACAATGAATATATGGCTTGCTAAGCAAATTAATTTAAACAAGCAAGACTACGGGAGGGGGGAATAAAAATATTTCAGGTAAAGTATAATAATCAAAAATAACAACATGCTTTCTGTACAGCAAACACTTTTGATGTACCCAAATACTAATTACTGATAACAATAGTAATTACCATTTAATTGAATGTCAATCTTGTATAGTTCAGGTTACATACATGAGCTAGAAATATCCCAACAACTCTGCAGGATGGGTAGAATTAGCCCCATCTCAAAGAGGAGGAAACCGAGGCTCGGAGAAGCAGGTGACATGCAAATACTGTGTAATTACAAGGCAGCCAAAGAAGGGTGCAAAGTCAGGTTGTCTGGCTCAAAAGCCTATGCCCTTCCACTCCCACTCAACACTGAGTGAGCCCTGAAGACAGCACGACAGACTTCTAGAGTCACTGGACCAAGTTCTTCAACAACAACAGCGGCAAAAAGAGAATCCCTACAAGGAGGGATAGCCAGGTAGTCTGGCTCCAGAAATCATCCTTCTTGTCTGTAGAAAGAATGATTCCTTTATACATCACAAGGGCATCTATAATATCCCTATTGGTAGGTGGAAGTACTTTGCATGCATGAAACTACTCAGGAGAAATGCACAGACGGAGATGGAGAAGGGGGATATAGGTGAGGCAGGAGTGCCTTGGGTCCACTGCCCCTTCCCTACACCCCATCACATGTGACTTCAGCCTACACCCCTATAGACAAGAACTGGCGTGGAGACCCTGAGGGGCTGCCAAGGGCTGTGATGAGGCCTCTGGGAGTCAGCGGAACGTGCAGGGTCAGCTGGGCCATGGGCAATGGAAGAGAACGTGGAAAAGGGAAGGAACATCTCTACTTACCCAAGAATCCACGGAGATATTCCGGAAAGCAGCCTGGATTCTGTAACGCTCTAGGAAAAAAGTAAATTTGGGAGGTCAGATCTCACATTTAGCAGGCAGACCACCCTGTTCCATCACATCCCAAGCACAGTATCTGGAGTCAGGCAGACACGAGATTGGTCCTTCCTTACCTACGACTTCATAGCTGTTAGGTAGATTAAGCTCTCTGTGCCTTAGTTTACTCAACTGTGAAAGGGGTATAAGAACATTACCCTCCTCACAGAGCTGTCGAGAAGACTGGATAATATGGAATTCATGCCATGAACTCAAAACACAGTAGTTTTAATAAGTATAATAGCCAACATGTATTGTTTAGAAAGTGCCCAGCACTGCGCTAGGTCTTCAAATAGGCTAACTCTCAACACCCTGAGGTAGGCACTAGTGCCACTGGCATTCTGCAGATGTGGAAAATGAGGCACTGCAAGATCACATCACGTTTCATCAAAGCATACCGGGTAAGCGGTGGAGTGGGGACAGGGAACCATCTGGCCCCCGAAGCAGGATGCTACGCAGTGATATCCTGCCTAATTCATTACAAATAAATGTTAGCTACTGTTATTATTACTGTTATGAAATTCTTCTCTCCAAGAGATCGTCTATAATGTTCCCAAAACCCCAGGGAGCTCACCATTTAGCTAGTCACCACTCAGGCACACAGACAGGTGCCGGGATCCTAAGTCACTAAGCCAACAATCACTTCAAGTGTCCCCCGAGATGCTCTTCGAAGCGCTGTGTGGGGCTGCAGGGACTTGGGTCTTTGATCAGGTCAACCTCTGTGCAGCGAATGGGGAATGCCAACAAGGAGGCAGCAAGGAAAGGGCGGGAGACGCTGTCAGGACACTGGGTACCATACCAGGCTCTGGCCCCAGCTCTCTGGCTGGCCTTCTCCAAGTCAGCTGACCTCTCCTGGTTTTATTTTTAAATGAGCGGACTGATCTGCTATTCTAATTTACAATTCTATTCTGATTCTCTTTCAGTCTAACTTCCTCTCCAAAGTCCATATTTGAGAGAATATGTTTTAATTCTTCATTCATCCAACACACATTGACCGCACACAATGCCAGGCACTGGGAACAGCTCAGGCTATCAACACAAGACTTGGCCTACACTCTGTAATTAGCTCTGAGAGCTGGATCAAGTCCCATCAAGGAAATCTTGGCGATCAGAACATTAGGGAAGGTTGCAGCCCTGAGGACAGCTGCACACGCCCATTCTGGCCTATCTGAACCCCAGGAAGTGGCCAAAGTGAATTCTGCACCAATCCAAAACCGGGGTCCCACAGGGGGGAAGGGGGTGCTATGCTAAAATGATGGGGACAGATCAGAATGTCTATGAAAAGTAACTAGACAACCAGGGAAATGCTTGGGCTGAGGGTTTTTAGGTTTGTTTTCTAAGAGTAATAGTGTTGTGTGCGATAAACCAAAGAGATGAGAACTCATTCGACACTTGACGTGACTTTCTTGACTTTATTAAGGTACACTAATGACCACTTCGGTAGCAATCTTTGATGTATGTGTGTGTGTGAGTGCACATGTGACCGCTTCTTTGAGAAACATTAACTTTGACACAAGATGCTACTGACTTTATTTAAAGATCAGTTCATCACCCTTAAACATGTTTCTTTCACAGAAACTCCTCGGAGGGGAGTAATTCTGAGAGTATAATACTTCCATTAAAAAGACATTGATTTTAAAATATGCTTTTCAAGCTTTTGACAAAAACAATTTTTTGATTTTATGAACTAAAAAGGGCAAATAATGGTGTGGAGACAACGTAATAAATAACATGAGTCGTCAAATAAGCTATTAAACATTTATAGATACAATTTTTAATACAGACTTTTAAACATGCCCCAGAATGTCCATCAATCTTTGATATGGGAGGAAGTAGCATTTTGGCAAAGTCTGTCTCCCACCACAACAGAAGTCAGTACAAGATGTTTATGGTTCTTAAAGAGAGCAATGATGGCATTCTTTGCGGGGTGGTTAGACATTTTTAGCATATAATTTTAGAAGGCAAAAAATGGGAGAACATACAAAAAATGTATTATTTCGATAGGTATTCAGGTAAAGTACCCTGTGCGTGGAAGTCCATAGAGAATTTGGTGCCTAAATTGGCCCTGAGATTCCCAAAGTGTTTTAAAGCAACGTTGTTGAGTACATGCATAAATGTCCAAGGTGACAACTGAGGAAAAATACTCTGTCGGATATATAAAGTAGAGCTTTCTTAAGCTTGGAAAGAAAAAAGTTAAAAATTTAGTAGTGATGACCCCTGGATAAAGAATTACGGGTGATTTTTTTTTCCTCTTTCTTTATAATGTCTCTGCTTTCCAAATTTCCTATAATGAGCATGTGTTACTTTAACAATTTTTCTAAAAAACTGTTTTTTCGATCTCATGATGTATTATAGAAAGTCACCTGATATAAAAAGTGAAAAGGCTTCGGAATCAGACAAGCTTGGGTTCAAATCCCTTTCTGGTTTGGTGCCCTCAGAGAAGCGACGTGGCAGCCCCTGCTGCACAGAAAATGTAAATAATAACAGACGTCTTGAAGCCCCATTTTGTCTCCTAGAGGTGAGATACTGTAAGTGCTTAGCACAGAGCAGGAGCCCAGGGAATGATAATCACTCTTCTCTCCACAAAACACAGGGAAGGAAGGCCTCTTTGATGACAGTAAATAAATTTGTTTGTGTTTATAAATTGACTTCAGGCCATCTGTTTAGAGAAACACTGGGAGTTTTGAACAGGTAACTTTCAGAAATCTTTTCATGGTTAAAAGTTCCAAAAAGGAAGAATGAGTTTTTACCCTACTCTCCTTTCCCTCGCACTTATTAGGACCCTATGGTCTAAAACTCTTGGGTTTCCTTGTACAGCTACAATGCTGCCATGTTCAGAGATCCTCTGGTTGGGATGGGCGTTGGGGGAAGGGGAGAGGCAGACCCACTGGAGCACAGAGGAACCACAGCTACCACAATCAAGATCTTTTCCATTTTCTCATTCCTTATGATTAAAGTGAGCAAAATAAATTATGGGATTGCTTAAATGAGGGCTGAGGGACAAGATTTTTTTTTTTTTTAAATGCTATGTTGATGTTTTCATCCTATTCAGCTGAAGGTAGTTCAGTTAGTTGGGGTTATGATGAAATATATGTACTCCACAAAATATGGCTGTTGGGGATATGCTGCCCTCGGATATATGTTGCTGTACCTTGACTACAGGAAGAAATATTGATTTAACTGGCTTTAATATCAAGTCCGGTATTTGTTGACACGTGGAAATGAAAAATATCAAAACCGTGAAAAGCTTGATATATAGGTCAAGTCCCATTTCAGCTCCCTCCGAGGGACGGCCCAAAGTCCTCTGCTGTATTGGAATTGTGTTCTGGTGATGCTTGCCCCAGTCACAGATAACATGAATTTTCATTATAATGGGATTTGCTACATAAATGAATATTGGTATAGATTTTTTATGTAGTACAATTTATTGTAGAAAGTACAGCCAAAAAAAAAAAATCATGTGTTTAACTTCTCCCTTTTCCCAATTCTGGAGGCATATCTCGCTTTCTACAAAAGGCACGTAATGATCTCTCCTTTTCAGTATCTGATTCCTCCTCTCACGGTGCCGAGTACAGAGTCAACGCTCAAGAAATAGCTTAATAAAATGAAGAAATGAGCTGAATAAAATGTGGTACCAAAGCAAATGAGGGAAATTCAGAATAGATTCCAGGGTAAGAGAAATAAATTTTAGAAACTGATTCAGAATGAGTATAGCAAGCAGGTTTAGCCCTTCCCGGCTAGCATGCTCAAGTCATCCTGGGATCTGCGGGCCCTCAGGTGGCTCCCTATTGCTAAACGGTCTTGTCTAAAACGCCCAGCACCCAGCTTACACACACCCATCCCTGGGGAATGCCACAGGGACATTTCAGTCATTAACTTCCTGAAACACCGTCATTAGAGTCCTACAGCCCTGTCAGCCCTAAGGCAGCTAAGGATCAAAGTCTGTCCTTCTCAAGGACTGAGAGAAAGGACCACCGTGACCGCCTGGGAGGCAATAAAAGGCGAGAGGTTGGCCCACAGCAGCGGAGGGAAAGGGAGTCAGCACAGCCCCACGATTGGGAGTTCCTTTGTTACAGCCAACACTCAGAAGTAGTTTCTGTGCCCTTCACTGGGACATAATCAGGGCTGCGGGAAAAACCGAGAGAGACTTCTGAAGAACTTGCTGGACGCTGCCCAGTGTCAAAATTCTTAACCTCTTGTTCTCTTTTCTTTTCCCCTCCAGCAACAATGATTACTTTAATAATCAAAGATTACTTTAATAATCAAAGCAATCAAATTATCAAATAATCAAAGTTATTTCCTATAACTTTTTATAAAGCTATCTAGTTGGAATATGTTTTCCCACCTTACAGTTCTTCTCTTAGAGTCTTTTTTTTTTATTGAAAGCTACAATAATGCATCAAATATCAAAATTTTCTATCTTCTATCTTGGGACAACGTAATAGATCTAAATGCCTATTTTCACAAAGATTTTGATTGTGTTCAGAGGCATCACCTATTGATGCTAAGGGTTTCCTTCCTTCATCAGAGGAATAAACCATGGGCATGAGCTTTGAGAGACTCCAAGCAAGGGACCAGGGGTTTCCAGGGCAGAGAAGGCCTATCCCATTATCACTGGATAAAGCATGAGGAAAGAGGAGGGTCTGGTGAGGCTAGCCTCAAGAGTGGTGTGTTTTTGCATACATTTTACAAATATTCCTATTATTCATTTGAAAATATTTCAAAGGAAAATTGCCTTCTCCTCGAGAGGGATGACCCATGGCCATTGATTCATAACTTGGAAACGCATCATAAAAACACTTTTGAGTTAACCACATGGTTTGCTCAATACATGTAATTCTTCATATGCCCCTTGCCTGGGCACCAGTCGTTATCTTTGTATGAGAGCTGAGGGAGCTGAGGGGCAGGGACAGTCAAGCAGTCGGCCCTGGGTCAGACAGCTACCACGCAATGGAGC